ATTGAGCAAAAGTTTATTTGCATTAAACCAATTAATAAGAGTTGATAACGCACGTTTTAAATTAATTTCTAACTCTTCTTCAACACAAGCCACACTCACACTAGTGTCATCTGCATATGTGGTGATATCACATGAAGATGGATCGAAGCAGTTAATAGGTCATTAATAAAGATTATAAATAATATAGGACCAAGGATAGATCCTTGGGGTACACCATACTTGATTGGTTTTAATTCGGATGCAACTTCAATAATTTGTCCCGAGGAAGCAATTTGCTCAACTGCAACATATTGTGACCTATCACTAATAAAGGATCTCAATAAATTTAGCGTCACGCCTCTAATGCCATATGAGTATAGCTTGTCCAGTAACAAGTCATGATCAACCAGATCGAAAGCCTTCGACAAATCACAACTTATCGATGCTACAACCTTGCCATTATTATGCGCAGTGCGTATGTAGTGTAACATACTTTGTAAAGCTGTGGTAGTTGATTTATTTACTCTATAGCCATGTTGTGAACTATTAAACAATTTATGGGTTTCCAAAAAGGCAATTAATCTAACTTTTATGAGAGATTCTAGTATTTTCGATACGGAATTTAAGATCGAAATTGGTCTATAATTTTGTGGTTCTGATTTAGATTTTGATTTGTGAAGTGGGTTAATTTTTGCAATTTTACCATGGCTTGGAAAAGTCCCAGAAGAGAAAGAAAGGTTAATTAAGTAAATCAAAGGTTGATATATTTCATCAAACACTTCTTTATATATTTTTATAGGAATACCATCGTGACCGCAAGCTAACGTATTATTTAAATTATTTACAATATTGAACAATTCAGTTTTTGTGACAGGCAGCAAATAGAAAGAATTTGGTGATGATGGGATAACTTTTGTAGTTTCGTATGTTGGAGGTATGTTTTTTCTACATTCATGCGCAACGGAAGCAAAATAGTCATTGAAAATATTAGCAACGTGTTCAGAATTAGTAATAACCTTGCCATTTTGGTTTAAAGAAATAGATGTAGTTTTTTTGTTTGTTTATTTAGGTTTTTATTTATAATTTGCCACGTGGATTTTATTTTGTTTCTCGAATTCATTATAATTCTTTTAGTTTGCATTTTTTTTGCTTGTGCAATAACTTTTTTAAATATTTTATTGTAGCGCTTGAAGTGATCAGTGAAATTTGATTGAGGATTATTTCGCATATTTATGTAAAGCTTCCGCTTTACCTTACTAGAAGTTCGGATTCCTTTTGTCACCCAATTCCGGGTTTTCTTTCCAAGGTAATGTTTCCTTAAGGGAAAACAATTAAAAAATATAGGTTGAATAATTTTAAAGAAATGACTGGTGAACTGATCTACGTTGTGTATGGTGTATAAACGGCTCCAGTCAATCCTTTGTAGGTGGTGTTTAAATGAATTTAAATTAGTTTGATTGATAACACGTCTCCACAAGTATAGACTAGGTTTTATTCTATTAGTTTTCATAATGAATATTTGGGCGTTATGATCCGAGAAATCTACAGAAAAATTGAAGGTGCGGTAAAAAGTACTTGGAAGGTTAGTAATAATATTGTCGATACAGCTACTGGAGTTAAATGCAATCCTGGTTGGTGTTGAGATAGTAGTAGTGAAACCATATGTATTTAATATATTTAAAGTATTATTTAGTAACGGCGAAGGTTTTAGAAAATTAACATTAAAATCTCCGCATAAAATTAAAGTTTTATGCTTTTGAACAATATGTAGGGCTTCTTCTAAATTTTCTAGAAAAATGCATTGATTACGATCCGGCCTGTATAAAGATAATATTGTTATTGAATGATTCGTTAATTGAATTCCACATATTTCAAAATTCATTTCCACCGACAAGTCTCGTATTTCGCCAATGGTTTCAAACTGAATGTCCTTCTTTATGAATATCACTGTACCGCCATGATTATTATGGGATCGACAAAAATAATCCGCAATTACATAGTTGTCGTTGTCGATCGTTAATTGCAACAACTGTTCCTCTCTCAGCCAATGCTCGTCAATACATAATATGTCAACATCACCAAAATCTTGAAGTAGTAGCAGAAGGCTGTCCGTTTTATTCTTTATACTTTGAATATTTAAGTGCATGACTGAGACGGAAGAGTTGCTTATCTTTCTGTACTTAAGGAATGAGCTGACTGAAAAGAATAAGATAACACATTTTCTTCATCTTCGCCTTCATCACTGACACAAAGCTGGTTCTCATTTTCAAGATCACCAGTTGAGATAGTAGAGTCTGAGTACCTTGAAACAGTTTGTTCTTTAACAGCGTCCGCTTTGCCTTTACAAAAACTTATATTTTCACTTGGGTTTATGGTAATGTTATTATTTTTAAAACAGTTGGTGTTATAAATATTAGTGGTGATAAAACTGATGATATTACTTGCTAAGTTTCTCTTGCCTATTATATTGTAATGCAAGCCGTGTCGAGTATACATCGCACGTTTGTGATTATGATTAGTATCTATTAACGCCACCGACCCAGTGGCAACTCTATTAATTACATGATATAATTTTTGATTAAGCTTGTAAATGATTCCGTTTACTGACTGTGTATCATAGCGATACGGAATCGTGCAAAATAACAATTTAGTATGTTGGCATTTATTACTTGATTTTAATCCGTGCGATTAGTTATCCAGGCTAGACCTGAGCTCTGATAAGGAAGACTTACTATAATAATAATAAAACAATAATAATTTATTGCCCAACAGTTAACAACCAATTACGGACAAACACAAGAGAGTAGTAAAAAAAGTAAGGATTTAAATTATCAAATGACGTGGTAACATATAAATTAAAGTAAAAAAATAATAACAAAGCACAAATTAAATTAGACATACGCCATGTTAATGAATTTAAATTAGTTATCACGGTTTTGCTTAAAACAATTCCAAGAAGTATTATTAATATCTAAAGATAAATTATTATAGTCACGACATGCAGCATAGGTAGGAGATAATAACATTATTTTACTATTAGCTGGTTTAAATGAAGTCAACGTAGTATCCGCCGGATTCGAAAATAATAGATATGTAGGAGTAACGTGTTTGGATTTTCGTAAGGCATTCGATTGCGTGTTTCAAACAATTTTAGTGAGTAAATTAGGGCTTTGACAATAGTAGTGCGCAAATAATACAGTACCTAATTCATAACCAATCGTCAACAATATGTGTCATATAACAATTGTCTGTCAACACTATCGGAAATCAAACATGGCGTCCCACAAGGATTAGTCTTGGGACCAACATGGTTTTATCGGACTAAATATATTGACACTACTTTGCATTTATATACAGCAGTGCTCCAAGGAAAACATGGCTACACTAACTGTAATTACGTATATCACAGGAACAAATAGAACCTTTATAACTTATAAGTATACCTTTTCATAGAGTAAACAAGACCAAAGATGACACTACATTTGACGACATGACATTTTTCAATGTGTAACCAAAACAAATAAAATATCGAAATTTGCAGGCATTTAAGATTTAAGAGCTTTTTAATCTTATAGATACATTTGATAACATTTAAGCAACAACAATTTGTGAGTTCTTGTTTTTGTGTCTTGTCCTTTTTTTATTTTTTGTACTGGTACCGGATGCGTGAAAATACTTTTGTATAATCTACAATAAAAAAAATACGCTCATCAACTGATATAACGCCGCTATCAGTCGGTCTGCCTCTCATAAAACCAAGTTGCGAATCGCTGATATTATTTTTTGTTAAATAATTGATATTATATAAGTTGATTATTGGTTACAAATTCGAATAAGTACTTCAGAAAAACTGGAAAGCAGACTGATAGGTCTGTAAATATATACTTATTTACCTTTTTGTAACAATGGTTTCACAATTGCTGAACATGGATAAACAAAAGAGGAAGCAAAAATGAATTATATAATACAGTGGGCTGGCTAATTTTAATTATTTAAATATTTTATTTAATTAATTATTTATTCCGTCAACTCCAGAAGACGAAGTTGGTTTCAGTGAGACCATTAACCAGCGGGTCTAGGAACATTGAGGTACGATTGTACTAAACGATGTCAAAGGGTACTAGGGTAGATATTTACTTTGGAAAAGTGACGAGTGATAAATAAATCGATTGCCTCTGAATAAGAAACTGTCTCCAACATTCCATGTAGTTATTTTTACGGGTTTAAACATTGTAGAATCAAAGTATCGTTTTTTTTTGCTTAATGGAGTTGATAAGCGACAAAAAAGTTCATTTTCTTTCGAATACAGAAAATGTCAGAAACACTCAAAACTACAAACATTTACTTGCATACAAATACAATTCTTCGTATTAAATATAAAGCTATTCAAGTTTTTCAATTTCACCATCTTCTCTTATACTTTTATAACGCAAAAAGTTTATGTAGAGTGAACTTTATTGGTTTATAAATACGTTTGAGGAAGGTGTTATAACGTGAGGTTAGTTCGGCGCTGTAAAACTCAAACCCCGCCGCATAAACGGCCAGCTAGCTCAGATTCTTAATTAAAAGAAGGGCTCGAGATGAGAATCTTCCACAGCGGTTTGTTCGTTTGGGCATATAACATAAGTTTTTGATCTTTGGTAGTTACTAGAAATGATTAGTTGAGCGCCACCCAATTTTGCACAAATTCTGACCTCTCCTGTATAGAAATTGGGAAAACACAAGAGAGCCAAATAATAAATTCACTACGAGCAATTCTGATTTATTAATCCTGACAAAACGGTGCAGGATCGGCAAATAAAATGTATCTTCAATACGACAATAACAAATACTTTAAATGACAAAAATAATCCCCAAATAAATTCCTGAACACTTCCCTAATAATTACGTTACCAGCCCCCTACAACAATGATCGAGCAAAAATGTAGTTAAGATTTCAACGGATGCAAAGATAGAATTAAGTTAACCCGAATAACAACTCATATAGGCAACACTGGGTACAAGTAAATTAAAAATCTTACCTTGAATAACACATACGCTGTCTTCTCCGAAAAAGAGCTCTCCTTCGAAGTTCCAGTTCTGTAACACAAAAACAAACCCCAAGCTACAACGCTCGGAACGATTATATGAGCCGGAAGGGCCAAAAATAGCTTACTCGTAGCCGGCTCGTTTACCCATACGTTAAATACAGGTGCGTTGCTCTTGAAGAGAGTCACGACCTCAAACACTTGATGCGAACAAAATACAAAGCTCCGATCATAAATCGTCGTAAGGTTACACTAGATTAACGGTACTATTAAAGCAAATAAAAAAAAGGTTGTGTAAAAGATCGTATCTTCCGAAAATTCCACCATCAGCTGGTCGCTCCCGGTATCGTTTAGGTGTTAGCGCTTATCTACTCGGTGGTACGCCGGATAACTGCCGGCAATCAACAGGTGTTCGTACTCCGGAATATTCGCAAGATGCAAATTCATTTACATACAAGAATTCATCTACTACATGGATTGACCGGTACAAGAATTCATCTACTACATGGATTGATCGGTACAAGAATTCATCTACTACATGGATCCCCTAAAAGTAATGAAGATGTAAAACTCCCTTAACGAGATTTTTAATAACATACCTGAAATCGTCAGGAGGGTAATGAAAAATACTTAAATCAATGAAATATGGAAATTATCCAAGAGGTTGTGAATCTGAAAGAATTTTAGATAACATAACGTAGAAGAAAGTCAACGCCATTTCACTTACATGTAGGTAGGGCGATGAACTTCCACCAGATATAGCCTCACAACGGAGAAAACGGCTTCTGAGTTACTCTACTCAACAACGCCAATAAACAGGTAAAATTGCCAGAGATTTTACGTGAATGATGGCAAATATTACCCACTGGTTTTAGAAGAATTCACAATGCCACGCTCTACAAGTACAACCTCGTTGGCTTTAAAACGGAAATGAAGTGAAAAAATTACGCGATTCTGCGCGAGGAAAGAAGCACGCGTACAAGTGGCGCCATCTCACCTATATCCTGCCTAATGTAGCAAGCGGTAATTTTGAAATTTGAATATAAATAAACTAAACTGTTACACCCCCCCTCTCCTTCGACAGGAGGGAAACTACAAGTTTTCCGACGATCGAAAAACCCAGCACACACACTCGAAAAGGAAGCAAACAAATTGAAAACCCGAAAACCCACCCCAGTGTAAAAAAAACTCCCCCCCAAAGAATTTCACCTTCAAAGAATTTTCCCAGGTTCTCCAGCAGCGGAAAAGGTATGCAAAATCGGGTATTGACATGCCCTCGCGTAAAGATGGAATCTCGCGCCGTCGGGTATCATGACAATAGCAACCCCCCTCCCTGACTAAAAACGACACAAAAGCCCAAATTTTGACCCCCTTGCCGAAAAAGTGTAGAAGGAAACCCCCAAAAAGAAGGTACCTTTCCAACCCAACTCCACCATGCACTAGCGTAATGAAATGAAGAAGGTGCTATGGATAGAAGACAGTAAGAGAGAAAGAAGAAATCACATTTGCGGAGAAAAAAAAACTCATTCATGCCGATTCCAGGGGTCCCATGGTCACCGAGGCTCGCACAGGGAAGGCGCACCCACCCCCTTCCTCTTGTGTATCACTCATACATCCATTCATACGAACATACACTCTGTGGAACGGAAGAAAGAAGAGTAGAAAAAGATAGAAAAATAGGAAAGTGAAAAGAAAAGGGCAACCTCTCCCAAATCTCCCCTGTGGAAATTAGAAGAAAAGAAGTGGTCGAGGTGCAAATAGAAAAAGGAAGAAAAAAAGAGGAAATGGATCGGGAGAAAAGAAGAAAATCCCCCCCTAGCAGGTGTTAAGCTATGATCCTAGAAACCATCCCCTATGCATGGTCCACTTTGTGGGCAAACCACCCAAAGAGTAAGAAGAAGAAGAAATATGGAACATATAACATATAAATACATATATCAAAGTCAAATCCAAGAATAAGAATACGTCAAAATTAGTGGTTCAAAATCGTCAACAAACAAGCAATCCGGCGACAACAAATGTCTAACCATGATCATCGGGTTCAATATAAGGTTTGAGATCCTGGACGTGCCACGTTCCAGAAGATTTACCATTAGAATCTTTCAACTCATAGGTCAAATACCCCATTTTACGGCTAACCGTAAATGGTCCTAAAAATCTGGGGGCTAACTTCGCTGAATAATCTTTAGTGGCATCAGACAAAGACTTATTTTTACGCCAAACCAAATCTCCTATCTCATAGTTAACATGCCTACGTCGTAAGTCATAATGTTGCTTGTTGCGGTCATGACTGTCTTTAATGCGTGCAATAATTTTGTCGTACAGTCCTTGCTGTTGCGCTAACCGTTGTTCTACGTCAATCGGCTCATTGTCCGTCATGTCAGTGTCGAAGCTGTCCCCTCGAATACGAAATTCTTTCCCAAAATTAGCACGATAGGGAGTCACACCTATGGTTTCGTGCTTAGAAGTTCGAAGAGCACAAGCTATCGAAGCTAAATGAACGTCCCAATGTTTGTGATTGTTCTTAACGTAAGTGGCTATCAATTGCTTTACCACACGATTCACCCTCTCCGCAGGATCAGCCTGTGGATGATAAAAAGGAGTAAATCGAACCTTTACACGGTAGCTTTCACACAGATCTAAGAAAAGTCTACTGTGCATCTGCACGCCATTGTCACAAATAAGGAATTGTGGAGCTCCATACACAAGAAATACAGAATCTTCAATACATTTGACAAGAGTTTTGGCATTCGCCGTCCTTATGGGAAAAAGAAGTACAAATTTACTCATATAGTCACTAACAACTAATAAATGAGTTCGCCCTTGAGTGGATCGAGGTAAAGGACCAATAAAATCTAAGCTGATCATCTGCCACGGTTCATAAATTTGAGGATGTGAACCCATAAGCCCTGCAGGTCGAAGTTGTTCAGGTTTATGTTGTGCACAGGTGGTACAGCGAGAAATATAACGCTTAATATCGCACTTCATTCTCGGCCAATAATATCGGTGATGAATGCGCCAAAAGGTCTTATAAACACCAAGGTGTCCTGAAGTAACATTATTGTGGTTCTCTTGTATAAGAGATTGTCTAAAATCAGAAGGAACAACAAGTTTCCATTTTTCATAATCATGAGATTGTAAAGCGGACTTGATATATTTATACAACAACGAATCTTTCACTCGCCAATCGGGATATTTATGAGGACTTCGCTCTAATCTTTCAAACATACCAAGGTACCAAGGGTCTTTAGAAGTTTTGAAATCGTTCGGATCCACCGTAACATCTGAAGAATGTACAGCTTCGATCACAGGTACAGTACGTGACAAAAGATCGGGAACAATATTGTCCTTGCCTTTACGATGGACAAGAGTAAAGGTATACGGCTGTAAACGAAGAGCCCAGCGTGCTAAACGTCCTTGGGGGTCTTTCAAAGAATGCAACCACAAAAGAGAATGGTGGTCAGTAATGACTGTAAAAGAAACTCCTTCGAGGTAATGTCGAAGTTGCTCTACCGCCCAAATGACTGCTAAGCACTCACGTTCAGTCGTGCTGTAATTTTGTTCCGCTCGGGATAATGATCGGGATAAATAACATACCACTCGCTCCCCATCCGGAAAAGTTTGAGTCAAGACAGCTCCTAGCCCATAAGCAGAAGCATCGGTCTGAAGGACAAAAGGTTTGGTAAAATCCGGGCAATTGAGCACAGGTGCAGTTGCCAAAAGTTCTTTTAATTTGAGAAAAGATTCCTCACATTCAGACGTCCATTCAAATTTAACATTTTTCCGAAGAAGTCTGGTTAAAGGAGCAAGAACGGTTGAAAAATCAGGAATGAACCTACGGTACCAACCGCAAGTTCCTAAGAAACGTCGTATATCATTCACCGTAGTGGGTGTTGGAATATCTAAAATCGCCTTGACTTTGTCAGGATCTGGGTGTAAGCCAAAGGAATCCACAACATACCCTAAATACTTAAGTTCTGAACGGCAGAAGTGACATTTGTTTTTATTCAGAGTGAAGCCAGCAGCAATTAATTTGTCAAAAACGGTGTTCAAAATTTTTAAATGTGAGTCAAAGTCTTGTGATATAATAACCACATCGTCCAAATAAACCAAAACGTTGGGTTGCAATTCAGGTCCCAAAATGGTATCGATAATGCGCTGAAAAGTCGCAGGGGCATTAGTCAAGCCGAAGGGCATCCTTCGAAATTGGAAAAGACCACGACCAGGCACAGTAAAAGCTGTGAAAGGGCGCGAATTCTCAGCAACCTCTATTTGCCAATAAGCTGACTTAATGTCCAGGGAACTAAGATATTTAGCGTCACGTAATTGGTCTAAGATGGTATTGATATAGGGCAAAGGAAAAGCGTCGCGCTCAGTTAAAGAGTTAAGTTTCCTATAGTCCACACAAAATCTATAGGTTTTGTCTTTCTTGGGAATCAGACAGACAGGTGAAGCCCATCCGCTGTTCGATGGTTCGATGACTCTGTCCCTAAGCATCTCATCAATGGTGTCGTTAATGATTTTCTGTTTAATCGGATTTACTGGATAGTACCGCTGTTTAATAGGAATAGCGCCCTCTACCAGGCGTATCTCGTGTCTACCTACTGGGGTTAATCCTAACTTGTCTCCCATGAGCGAAAATTTCAGATCTAAGAGGGTTTGTAAAGAATGGGGTTGTTCATCAGTGAGACGAGACTGTTCCACTATGGCCACACTAGGTTGAGTTGGCGTGCAAGAAGTAAAATGCCAACAGTCATCGCTAATATTCGGAATGATACCCATCCTATCCCAAAAATCTACTCCCAGGATTAAATTAGTAACCAAATCAGGCATCACCAACAAATCTAACAGCACAGTACGATCCTTTAAGGTAATTGGCACAGTGATGTAACCAATCGAATGTGCATCGGAGCTATTTGCTACCGTACAAGAAATAACTTTCGGTACAAAATTGAAATTGAGTATTTGCAATTGAATTAAAGTATCGGAATTGATAAAAGAACGTGAAGCGCCAGAATCTAATAATCCCAAAAAAGGAATGTCTAAAATT